TTAATATAACAAATCGTTTTTTTTTTTTGGAATAGGGAGAATAAATTGAAAAACGAAGAAAACGGAGGAAGCCGATTGGTGTCAGCAAATATATTATCACCAAATACGTTGAACAGCGCGAATGTAGGCAAATATTTTTGTCGGTAAAAGAAACAATAGCAAAAAATTTGTGCTCCTCTTTAGCTCCTTTTTGACATGGAAGGTTACGGGAGAGTTTTTTTAATTTGTCCATAATTGTTCGTGACTGTTACTCTGCGTATCTCTGTGTATTTTAATTGGTTTTCCTCTCCTAATTGATTACAGTTGTCGGCCACTTTTTTTTTTTTGTCCACAGGCTTACCGGAAAAGATATGAGAAGGAAGGTGGAGAGCTCGGAGGGAAGGGAGAGAAGCGGGTAGACCGAGGTCAGGAGTAGAGGAGAGAGTGGTTAGAAATTTTTCCAAGAAATTACGCAATTCTTGGATGGATTTTTTTGGTGGAGAGGGGGCAAGAAAGGAAGAGAGAAATTATCTGGCTTTCAGGTTTTTTTGATGACAGATTCGGTTTGTTGGCATTGATTTTTAATTTTTTAACACTGTTACAATACTTACCTAATATTTACAAAACAGTGAAATAACTCCCTTTCTATTTTGGTTCTTTTAATTCACGCAATTTAATGAAATCAACGTCTTCGTCAACCGACACTGATATTTCGCATTTATTTTTGTTTAATCTTTTTTATTTACCTTTCCACCAACAGAAAAGAACCGATTTCTTTTTTATCCCTCACCAATTTAGTGTTATCAGGAAAAGAACACTGTAATTTTTTATCTTTTTTTTTTTTGTTTGTTTGTCTATTACGGATGCACGCAGAAAAAGTAAGGCAATTCGTTGACTGACTTCTTTTCTTAAATTATTAATAATAATAACCTGGTTTGTTGTTTCGGTTAATGAAGGAAATTTTTTTTGATGTTTTTTGCTGGGAAGGTACGGCAACTGTGTATAATTAACTATCAGATAACCAGCCTGTTTGATGGGTTAGGATCAAATGGTCTGATTGAAACGCCGGTTTGTGTTTGTACTGGAAGTCGATACGTTTTTGTTTTTGTTGTTGGTGATGGTGCTGAAACCGTTGGAAAAACGGTAAGCAAAACTGAGGTGACAGTAAGCAAAAAGCACACCTATCTGTCTACCTATTGCTCATCCATACGTCCATTCACCCATCGATCAGTTTACTCACCTCATCCATCTACTCATCCAACCAGCCATCCATCGATATCTATCTATCTGCCTGTCTATTTGCCGAATGCCCAGGTGGTACCGATAAACGTCGCACCAACCGGCTGATCTGCTGCAGTCAAAAAGTTAGCTTTGCTTGGTTGTGGGTGGATATGGCAAAAGTCTATGAGCGGTCAGCGGTATGATGCAGTTGATGGATAGCATCTGCGGGGGTTACGCCTCCCCATTTGGTTCCGTTGGCTTCGTTCTTCCAACTGCTCTGTTCCTTCCCCTCATCGTCCTGTCCCCTCCCTCCTTTCCACCTTTTCTTCTTGTCTTCATCCGCTAGTTCAACATTTCATCATCCACTGTAGTTCTCCGTTTCTTCATTGTCTCCGATTAGTGTTCCAAGCACAGTTTTTTTTCCTTTCTTCATTTTTCAGGTTGGCCGCCCAACTTTTGTTTATTGTTACGAGCGTTTGGAAAAATCTGTAAATGATGGAATAAATAAATTTTTTATCGGCGACGTGGTTGTCGGTCATTTGAAATGTAACGACTGTGTAGTTTTTTCCTTTTTTCACTTGACAGGAATTATTTTTTTTATTGTTGCAGTTGTGTTCCTGTTTGTTTTATTTATTCGCATACGGTTTAGTAACTAAGCGAATTGGTCACACTAAGTATTTGACACTAAGTATCTACTTCCTTAAAATTTATCATTTAACAGTTTAACGGACATAGAATTTTTAACTTTTATTTTGTTATATGGTGTTACAGATCTGGTTACGCAGAAATTAATTGACAAAGGACGAACCAAGTTGATGAGCTCTTTTTATTCACAAGATATAGGGAGGAGGATGAGGTTTATTGTTGTTGTTGTCGTTGTCGTCATAGTTGCTTTTCGATAGTGATGATGGCGAGCTGCTTTGATGGTGTTGATTGCTGTTTAGTTCTGTTAAATGCAACTTTTCTTGGGTATTCAGTGAATTTGTTAGCTGAAAAGTTTCGATGATTAACAATGAAATAAATATCGGAAAAAATTTTTTTCATGTTTACCCCTCATCAGTCCTTTGATCTGATTCATCCCGCAGTCTTTTCTGCTGCAATCCTTTTGTTCCCCTCTCCCTGTCTACTTTCCCCTTTCCGCAAAAGATCATCTTCCTCGTCTGTTTTTTCCCGTTCTTTTCTCTTAATCTCATTCATTCAAACTACAAGCGAAGAAAGGAGAAGGACAAAAAAAAACAGGGAGAAAAATTTCAAAATAAGGGTCAGTTTAATCAGCTGTGCAAAAAGTGATAATGGTGTTATGTTAAATAAATTTTATTTATATTGACTATAAAAGGCTTTGAAAAAAAAACCGCATATTTATTTTCTTGTTTAATTGTTTGTTGTTGCTGTTGTTTTTTAATCTACACCATTTTTGTTTTGTTTTATAGTACAACATTTTGCTAGTGAACTGTCGTGGAGTTAGTTTTTTTTGTTGCTTTTGCATTGCTCCTTTTTTAGCGTTTATTTTTTCCTTCACTATTGAACGTACATTGTTTTTCAGCTATCAACAACCAAAGCTCAATGATTTTAGACATCAAAATTTTTTTTATTTTTACAACAACTACTGCTATAGCTGTTAGTGGTCTGTATGTTAAAAATGTGCCACAATTAAACGCCGATATACCACAAGAGGTAAGGAAATATTTTAGCCGGAATACTGGACAGCCAACATGGTTTACCTGTCCGGTTGGTTGTTATTGTACAGGAGATTTAAGTCAGAACAGCAGCTACGAATTAGCTGTACGCTGTTATGGTGGTAATCTTAGTCACAGTGTATTTGCAAAAATTATTAAAGATTCACCACAAAATATTACTATGCTAAGTGTTGAAGCGCCATCAAATGAACCCAATCATTTTTTATGGGATGATAATTTGAATCGTTTCAAAAATCTACGTATTCTGCGACTAATCAGTTGTGGTATTCCGGCGCTTAGCTATTCCATTAGTCTAAAGGAACTTGAAGTCCTTGATTTACGATCGAACAATATTGAAGAAATTTCGATTGATATGTTTACGGATTTACCGAAACTAAAAACTCTTGATTTGTCCAGCAATCGTTTGCGTGTATTACCAACTGGTGTATTTGCTTTCCTACATCGTATGGAACGATTATCCTTAGCCTACAATAATATTACTGAATTACCAATAAATTTACTGCATCAACATCGTCGACTAAAAGTGCTTCACCTTGATGGCAATAAAATTTCACTGAAAAATTTAAACAGTTTCTTTCGTGACACGCAACAGCTGGAGCGTCTGGAATTAAACCATTGCGGTCTACAACAGTACTGGGAACTCAAGCTTGAATATTTAACAAATCTGCAACGTCTTGGTCTTGCCGGTAATCAACTGGGCGAAATTCCAACAATGTTGTTCCGTGGTCATCATCGTTTGCAAGCGATTGATCTCAGTGACAATGATATTCGGCAAATACCGATTGACCCTCTATGGCATAGCAATATTACGCAATTGGTGTTGGCCTGCAATCGCTTGGGTAATTTAGAACAGTTAAAAAATGTGGAAACTTATGGTCCATTGGAACACTTGGATATTTCTTACAATAATTTTGAAACTTTCAAGTCTGAAATGTTGGGTGCAGCACAGAAAACCGTTGAAGTGCTAAATTTAAGCGGTAATCGGTTACGTTATGTGGACAGCCGTTTAACTGATAATTTGACAGCATTAAAAGTGTTACATTTAGCCGACAATCAGTTGGTGGAATTGCCATCTGATCTACCGGCTATATATTCGGCGCTAAGATTGTTGAACATTTCACAAAATGCACTCTATTCATTACCCTACGGATCTGCACGCATTTTCCAATCCTTGAAAATTTTGGATATTTCTCGTAATCGTTTCTATACGTTACAAGCATCACTGATGGAAGATTTTCTGAATTCTCTTGATAAGGTAAGCTAAACTATTAGCTGTCATACACTTCTAAATGTTGTTTATTATAATAATCTGGGCCAATGATCTTCATAATATCTGTTCAGAGGTAGAGGTTATAAGTATCGGAAAAATTAATCAGCCGTTTTATTCAGATTTGTGCTGTTTATAAGTGTGTGTACGGTTTGATAAAAAAAATTTTTTTTTTGCATGAATAGGTTCGCTTCTGTTGTCTTCATTATAACAGCAATTGTTTAGGGATCTAAAGAAGTTTAGAAAAAAAAATAAAAAGGAAGAAGATAGACAAAGAAGCAGTTTGAACCACTCATTATTGACAAATATTTTCCTTCATCTTTTTTATGTAGTTTTTTTTGCTGGAAGCGATGGCGAAAAGAAGGAAGGAATAGGAAAGGAAACTGCAAAACATTTATTATAAAATGGAGTTTTTTTCAGTTTTTTTGGTCTCACTCCCCCACCGTTCTCTCAACTTTGAATACTTTTTTTTGGCATCATCATGATACGGCAGTGACTAAGAGGCAGGAAACGTGGTTTTCATGCAGTTTTTTCCTTTAAAATTGATTTTGATTGAAAAAAATTTTTTTATTGATAAGAATTGTTTGTGGAGGGAAGAAATACGTGTGCATTTAATGTTACAAGAAAAAAAAAATCAGGAGACAAATTTTTTTGTGCTTTAATAGTTTCTTCTCTAATGATGTTCTTGATGATAATGCTTTTCAACACTTTTTTTTTTGCTTATTTGATTTTTTATAGCCAATAATCTATTTGAAAAGGGGGAAAGAAAGGTGAATAAACAGAGATATTAGAAGCTGAAACAATGTGAGCAGCGTTTTTCAAACAGTTCCATAAAGTTGACATTCTTTTGTCAATTTTTTTGGCCGTTTTTTTTTTTTTTAGTTTGGATCTATGCATTTTGGTATTATATACTCTCAGAGGGATTAGGGAAATGAATAGGTGAAGAGGTGAATGAATGAATGTTTGAATGATTGATTGATTGAATGAATGAATGAACTAACTACTGAGAAAAATGTTTGAGTGGATCAATGGGTGGAAGTTAAATGGTAAAACAACGGAGCAGTTTGAGTAACGGTGTGAGAGCAGTGCTGTCATTGTAGTATAATGTTATTAGGCTAAGTTTTAGACTGAACATAAAGTGCTTTTTTTGCACTTCTTGGTTTACTTTAGTTTATCAAAAGGAAAAAAGAAAAGGAAATAAAAGATGGATGTTGGGATTTATTTCATTGCTGCTGTTTCTTCTATGAAAATAAAGGGTTACTTTGGAGTGTCAAATGTTGTTTTGAAGATGTCTTGTTTTGCTTTGGTCACGTAAAACTCTGTTGGATACTTCCGGTTTTCTTTCAGTTTCTTTGCTGCAGCTCTGTGCTTTTTTTTTTTTTTTT